CAGGAGTCTGATACAGCAGCTGAAAAGGAAAAAGGAAAGAATCTCTAACAGTCAGAGCTGCCCAAAAGTGGCAATGGGATGCCTCTGGGAACAGTGGATTCTCCCCTCACTAGGTCTTCAATCGAAAGCCAGAAGGCCACTTGTTGGAATATTACTGAGGGGCTTTTTGCCCTGGCACCAAGTGGCCCAGCTCATCTATGAGGTCCCTACAGATTCTAAGCTTGTATGGCTCTTTCCTTTCACACTGACTTCATTATTTTAGGTAGAAGTGGCACCACATGCTTTCAGATGGACAGCAAGTCAGGAATCTAAAAATACCCCACCTCCAATATCACCACCATCCTGTACATTCCTCCCTACCCAGAAATCTTTTTCACTTCCAGGGCCAATTTCTATTGTCTCTGGTGTACTGAAGTCTGCCTAGCCAGAAAGGACAGTAACTCTGGCTCAGCATCGCTTGGCACCACCCACTGAACATTGTAAGCCTGTCAAATGTATACCGGGTAGTGCCAGCCCTTATTGCTAACACAAACCAAGGGCCTGGCACTGCCAAACTGTCCCAGTGAGCCTCAGTACAGGGGATGTTTTGCCTTAAAAAAGGCTGGCCACGTGCGCTTTGGCTTCTCGGAAGGAAAGGAATTTTTCCACTTTCAAGGAAAAACAAAACAAAACAAGACAGCAGGTTGTTGGCTAAAGGGAAGGGGTCCGCAGCCTGCGGTCAATTCAAATTCAGGGGGCCAAAGGTTTCCATGGATTCCCTGGAAAGGGGATGTGTGCCAGGGCACTTCTGGAGTCATAGAAGGGATGGGCAGAAGGCCTGGTTGCCAGCAGCCCCACCTATCCCTTGCCTTTGGGCATGCAGAGGGAGTGGTGCTCAAGACCCACCTAAAGTACGTGGGGTGGTGGCAGCTGAGGAACCCAAAATATGCTCCAGGCAGCCACGTGGCCACGTCTTCTGACATGGGCTTCTTTTCAAATTATCAGAAGGAGCAAACATGAACTCCCGTGAGCCAGGAGAAGCAACAGGCTGTGTCTTCCATTAAAAAGGCACTAGACAGGGGCAGCTAGGTGGCACAGTGGGTACAACATCAGTCCTGGAGTCAGAAGGACCTGAGTTGAAAAATCCAGCCTCAACACTTAACATTTATTAGCTGGGTGACCCTGGGCAAGTCATTTAACCCTTATTGCCTCAAAACAAAACCAAGAATATACTAGACATATGGGTCCCAGTAGTGAAAAAACTAGGTACCAGGGCCACCCAGTTTCTGGAATTTTGCCAGCTCTGATGCTTTCTAGCCATGTGACCCTGGGCAATTCAAGTCCAGTCTCTGGGCCTCAGTATCGCTATCTGTAAAACGACAAGACTGGGCTTTCTGCTTTATCACACTCACCTGCCTAGACAAGGCTAATCTAGATTCCCTTAGTAACACAGTCTCTCCCTCGAAATTACTTTGTATCATTCTGAGTGGACTTTGCATTTTTTATATACAATATTCTCCCTTAAAGCCAGGAAGTGTTCCGTTTTTGTATCTGCACACCAAACAGAGCGTCTGGAACTAGAGGTGCCACACAGGTTCTTCCTGGTTGATTGACAGTTGAGTAGAACGTAAGCCCCTTGAGAGCAGCGACTTTTCACTCTGTCTGCATCTGAGCATGCAGCACATTGCCTGGCACCTCACAGGGGCTTAATCAGTGTTTCTGGGTTGGTTGACAGATATGTGTACATGCTACAGAAGAAAAAGGCTGGGAGGGGGGCGGAGTGAGGAGGGAAGGATCTGTTTGATTTTTGCCTTTCCATAGCCCCTACAGGCCCAGCAGAGTGCCAGGGATGAAGTGATTAAAAAACACCATCCTTTCCTCCTAAGCAGGCTGGACCCCATCTCGAGGCGATCCCAGAGATTCCACAGTCTGCTCCCAGCATCCAGGTGAAAAGCCACTGAAAAGCCTGACTTCACGGACCTGCCCCTTCCCAGAAGACGTCGAGAGGTTCTTCCTGTATGATGGTTCACCCAAACATTTGTCAGCATCTACCTGGTCCCGTGTGTCTTCTAGTCAGTCCCAGAGAATGGGCTGAAGGGTTCTCTTGGTCCAGAGTCTCCGGGCCCATCTCTTTCAGGGCCTTTAAAAAGCCTCTGGTGAACAATCTACAATGTGTGTAGTGTGTGTGTTACACGTGGACACCATCCTAAAGGGAGAAAAGAAGCCAGATTCTTCCTCCTGCTTTGAGCTGGTCCACTCCAGGCAGCCCTGAGTGCCAGAAGCCCCTGGGTACCGCAGAGATGGGCACTGGACGAACAGAGGCAGCTCGGGCGAGTTGAGCTACCACGGAGCCCACAGAAGAAGGAAAGGGCTGGCCCCACACCAGAGATCTGGCTGGAGGAAATGAGTCAGGAGGGCAAACTCCAAGGCTAAGGCTTTTGTTTTCTAAATGGATGCTTCAGATTTTAAAATGGAAATCTTAGCATCAAGATTTGGGATTTAAACTGCCCCTAGGGAACACAAACAACATTAATATTGGCAAGAATCAGCCAGCTCTGGCTGGATCTGGCCCATGGGCTGTAATTTGCTGACTCCTAGCCTGGTGAAGAGCCAGTCTCAGAGCATGGAAGACCTAGGTTCAAGTGTCTGACATACACTGGCTGTGTGACCCTGGCCAAGTCACTTAATCCTCCTAGTGTTCTAAGACTAGAAGATGCTGCTGTATACTGGTAAAGGGCATTTCCTTGCCAGCAAATTTCCTAAACTGACACATCACAAGTCAAACTAAAGAAAAAATGTTAACGTGCGCCGGTCACTAGAAACACAAAGCGGGGAAAAGCTTTGTTCTCAAGCTTCCATTGTACTGCTTAGGAGAATTGATTTTATAATACTGTAGAATGCCATTCATAGGCTCATCAGCCTGCAATGAGAAGGGGCCTTGGAGGCAGCCAAGTTTTACCCTTTCACTTTACAGATAAGGAAACAGAAGTCATCTTCCCAGGGCCACACACAGGGCTGACTGACACCAGGGCAGGCTGCCCCATGCTGGCATGAGTAAGGAAGGGCTGCTCACCCACCTCTCCAGACACAGTTATGTTCACAGGCAGTGACAGGCTTGGCTAGGAACGTGAGTGCCAGCTCGACCAGCTGGCCTCATTTGCTCACTGACCCAACCAAGCTGCACATCCTCAGACCTTACTCCTACACAGAATGAGATGGGAGAAGGCCTCCCCCTCAGCCCAGTGTGAGATGGTACAAAGAGCACTGGGTTCAAATCCTACCTGTTACTTCCTACCTAGATGACCTCAAACAAATGACTTCACCTCCTAGGGTCTCAGTTTCTCCATCTGTAAAATGAGCAGGTCAGATTATAAAGCCTCTGATGTCCCTTCTAGCATTAAGTACATGGTTCTTGATCCACCCCTGAAATATTCAAACCTACTTTATTGCTATTTAAGCAGTAGCTCTCCCTTCAGTTCTGATAAGAGGAAGATAAGTCCATTGTTCAGATTTGACAGCCTTTCCCTACAAACTTGCCTAGCTCAGGGTATTAGAGGAGACAGTGAGATGTGCAGAATCCAGCAGTTTGGGGGGTGGGGGGATGGGCAGGAGAGGCCCTGCAGAAGGGTTTCCAGATCTTGTCAGATCCTTAATACCATCTAGGATGCTAAGGAACCCTGGAGTGGTTTTTGCCATAGCCCTCCTAGAGGCGGCCCCATATCTACCCCATGGCTCATTCTCCCACAGGGTGCCAGGAACCCCACCCACCAAACACATGCCAGACTTCTCTAAACCAAAAACAAAACTCAAAAAAAAAAAAGCCCCAACAGATGCCCTTTCTGGACCCTAGAGACCATGGTTTGCCTAGAACTTTGCCCACTGCCCCCGCCCAGCAAAGCTGGTGATTCCCCAAAGTCCAAAGAGGGCCAAGGGCTCAGCCTAAGAGAAGATACCAGGCAGAGCCAAGTACCACCCTGTGCCTCACACCCTCACTCTCAATAGCAACAGATGAGCCATTTAGAAAAATAATTTTAGATTGCAGAAATATGCCCCGGGGGAGGGGCATGTTCTGTCTCTGGTTCTCTCCCAACCAAGAATGAAGCTGGTTTTCGAAAAATGCATTTCAACAGCAATCTCCTCCAGGTTCCTTGAAACTGTCAAACTCTCCCTTGAAACTCCCCCATCCTGGCTTGATGCTAGGAAATCTGGGCCTTTCAGAGGGTCAAGTCCCTGGGAAGTTACTGCTCTGATCCATTTTTGCATAGGAATTGAAAAAGGGTAGGGGTACCCGCCTCGGGATCCACACGGGCCCTTTCAGGCACCATGGGAGGCTGGGATATGCACAGGAGGCTCTGCCCGCCCCGGCCGCCTGCAAGGGCTCCTGGGTGATCCTGGGCAGGCGGAAGTATGCATGGCACACCGCAGGCCTGGCCCACAAGCTGTCAGACGCAGCTCCCCTCCCCACCCCCACTCCTGGGAAGCCTGGGCCTCCTCTGGCCAGTGGGCAGGGGAGGCCGGCAGCGCCTGCCACTGCCTCGTGTCCTGACAAGCCCTGGACACTTGCAGCTCCCACCCCAGGCTCTAGGGCAAACCCAACCACACCCAGCCCGAAAAGCCCCAGAACCGGGATTCCGAGATCCCGAGCTCTGCTGCAGCTGGCTACCTGTCTGACCTTCAGCAAATCCCTCCCCGACCCCCATCTGGGCTTCACTTTCCTCCTCATAAAAATGCCTCGAGGTTGGCCTGGCAGTCCCCCAGGGTCTCCGGGCCATATCAATGCTAGATGCTCCAGCTCTTCTCAAAAAAAAAAAAAAAAAGGGAAGACCGAGGTCATCTGGCCTCCGGAGATGTGGGGAGGAGTTCTTACCTGACAGCCGCCAACCTCTCTCCCCCTCCACCTCGGGGTGCCGCGTCCCTAGGCGAGCCTGGAGCAGAGGGGCGGGCAGGCTGGCAGGCCGCTGCTGAGGCGGCCCACCGGGGTTGGTGTCCCCCTCCCCGTGTGACGCCCTCCCCATACTCACGGCGGGGGCGTCGCTGCTGGTGTACCGAAGCACGATGTGGAAGGGCTGGTGGGGCTGCAACGCGCCGGGGAGGCTGATGGTCAGGGATGAGCCGTAGTCCGTGAAGGGCTCCACCCGGAAGAGCAGAGGGTGGCAGGGCCCCGGCGGCGCGCCCGGAAAAGTGGGCAGGGGCGGCGGGGGGCTGGGTGCCGGAGGGGGTTCGGGGTCTGGAGGCTGGCCGGCGTCGGGGCAGGGGCCGATCGCAGGGTCCGGAGGCTGGCCGGCGTCGGGGCAGGGGCCGAGCACAGGGTCCGGAGGCTGGCCGGCGTCGGAGGAGTGTCCGAGCACAGCTTCGGGTGGCTGGCCGGCGTCGGGGCAGGGGCCGAGGGCAGGGTCTGGCGGCTCGGCGGGGTCCAGGCCGCGGGGCGGGGCGCAGCAGGGCGCGGGGCCCGGGCGCTCGCCGGCGGAGCGGGGCGCCGGGCTCAGGCCTGGCTCCGAGTCCGGGTCCGGGTCCGGGTCCGGATCCGGGTCCGGGTCCGGGTCCGGGTCGGGCGCGAAGGAGAAGGCGCAGGGCGGCTGGCCCGGCGCGGCGGGCCGGTAGGCAGCCGAGTGGAGGCGCACGGCGGGGTGCACGTCGAGCACGAGCGCCGGGGGCCCGGGCCGCAGCGCGCACAGCTCCAGCACCAGGCAGCCCGCCAGCTCCCGCGCGGCCGGCCGCAGCTCGAGCCCCAGCTGCAGATGGCGCAGGCGGAAGAGCTGCGAGCTGGCGGCCGAGGCCACGTCCGGGGCGGCCGCCGGGGCCGCAGCCGCCACCGCAGCAGACGCGGCCGCAGCCGCCGCAGTCTCGGGCCCCGCGGCCCCCGGCCCCTTGCGGCAGCAGCACTGGGCCGCCATGGGCCGGGGCCGGGGCCGGAGCCGGAGCCGGGGGCGCGGCCGGGGGGCGGGGGCCGGGGCCGGAGCCGGGGCCGGGCGGGCCGGAGCCGGGCCGGGGCCGGGGCCGGCGCTATGTGAAATCCATGGGCGGGCAGGGCCTTCCGGAGGGAGCCGGGGCCGGGCCGGGGCCGGGGCCGGGCGGGGCCGGGCGGGGCGGGGCCGGGGCCGGGGCCGGGGGCCGGAGGCGGGGCGCGGGGCGCGGGGCGGGGCTGCGGCCCGCCGGGAGCGGAGAGCGGGGAGGAGGCGGGGGCGGCCCAGGCTGCTCAGACCGTCCCCGGAAGTCTCCGGCGCGGAGATGGCCGGGCCCAGGCGTGGGCTCCCGGGTCCGGATCCCCGCGGAGCCCAGGGCCGGCTGTGCTCCCCTGGGGCCCTGTGCGCGCGCCCGGCTGGGTGGGGAGAAGGAAGGGAAGGAGAAGTGGGGGAGGCGAGGGGAGGAGGAAGGAGAAGAGGAGAAGGGCCGGCCCCTGGGGAGGCGCGTCTGTCCGCCTGGCCCACTCCTCCGGCTCTACGTTCACCGACGGGCCCCGGGGATCAGGGGTCTCCGAGAGTGGCAGCTGGAGACAGAGAGCCAAGGGAATTATGGGCTCTCCGGACCTGGGAGGGTCCTTAGAAGCCACCTAGTGACAGTCTGGTGTCCCGGGTGACATGAGGACACACGTTCAAATCCTGGTCCCGCTGCTTACTTAGAGAGGTAACCTGAGGCCTGGGCTCCGAGACAAGCCCCGTTCCCAAGCCGGCCCTGGATAAAGCATCCTGTACGGTAAAATAAGGGAATTGGACCTCTGACCGTCTCTGACAGTCTGAACCAACGCGCTCTGCTCCTCCTGACGACGTCAGTCTCACTTCAGAGAACTTGGGCTAAGATCATTGTTCTACTGCTTGGGAAAGTGGTCCTGTAATCCAAATCTTACTGTCCCTCCCTTTTACAGATGAGGAAACTGAGGCACAGAGAGAGGAAATGACTTGCCCAGAGACAGACAGCAAATGGGCCTCCGGAGGGGGACTCCTGACCTCTACTCAGTCCGCTGTTCTTCCCACCACACTGCTTTTCCGTTCCTCTCATCTCCCCTCCCCACAACAGCTGACTGAAAGCATTCAAAAACTCCGAGTTCTTGGCTAGAAAGCTGCCTGTGGATTTCAGCAATCAGGCCTGTTTTGTTTTGTCTTTCTAATGTACTAAGGTCATACCATCTAGAGAGCACCTCAGACATACTTTCTTTAAGGAGGGGTAGCCTAATTCCAAGAGACACCTGGGTTTGGAGTCAAAAAGACTTGTTTCCTTTCACCTCCTATATTCCATGTAACCCTGGACAGATCTCTTGAGAGCCTCCATTTCCTGTCTGGAAAATGCACAAAATAAATCACCTCCCTTACAGAGCCAGGCTTTAAACCCTATTGTTGTTCAGTTAAGTCCAATTCTTCATGACCCCTTTCGGGTTTTCTTGGCAAAGATAATGCAGTGGTTTGCCATTTTCTTCTCTAGATCGTTTGACAGCTGAGGAAACTGAGGCAAATGGGGTTAGGTGACTTGCCCAGGGTCATACACCTGCCAGATTTGAACTATTGCCAGTAGAAATAGCAGCTATCACCACCTTCATCCTCTTTGGGAGCACCAGTTTGCAGTCTTCTTCTGATGTTCAGATCAATTAGGATTAGAGGCAGGGTATGGTTCTGGATAAAGAGCTGGTCTCAAGCCCAGGAGATGTGGATTAGAGCCCTATCTCTGACTCCTAAAGACTGGGTGGCCTGGGACAAATCACAACCTCTAGGGGCTCTGGTCATCTGAGGAAAGAGAATTAATATTTAGTAAGAGCTCACTGCGTGCGGGCTCTGTGCTAAGCACTTCATAAATATTTTCTCATTTGAGCCTCACAACAACCTTGTGAGGGAGTGGCTATTATTATCCTTTCTTTACAGATGAGGAAACTGAGGCAGACAGATTACTTGACTTTCCCACAGTCACACAGCTAGGAAATGTGTGAGGCTGGATTTGAACTCAGGTTGTCCTGACTCCAGGCCCCGTATTCTATTCACTGTGCTACCAGCTGCTTCTAAGACTTGAAGTTCAAGGAAAGGTGCTGACCCGCCTTGGTAGAGGGAGTCTCCTTCCTTGGCATGACTTCCCTCTGCCAAGGAAATTCCAGGTCTGCCCAGTCCCTTTCATATTGGGAGACATTGGTTGTCCAAGGTCACTTAGAGAAAAGATACCCTCGATACTGTGATGATGAATGTGGAAACCCCAGCTGGGCCACATACGACCAAGTAACTTCACCTCCTCAGGCCTCAGTTTCCTACTTTGTAAAACTAGGAAATCACTAGGCCTGTGATTATGCAACATCATGCTCCTTATATCGGTTAATCTCTCTGAGCCCTAGGTTCCTTATCTACAAAATGAAGGGGACTGGACTGGCTGGCTTCCAAGGCCCCTTCTAGCTCAGCTTCTGTATTTCCCGATCCTTGGACCAGTCCAAGGAGCTTATCCAAGAGATATTTCATGGCTGCCCTTTGTGACTTCACTCTTACTGCCCACGAAGACCAGGTCTTTGGGGCTCTTCTTTGCCCTATCCATTCAACAAAGCTTTGCTAAATTCTTGCCGAAAGCCAGTGTTTCTGATAAAGGCCTCATTTCTAAAATATGTAGAGAACTGAGTAAAATGTATAAGAATACAAGTCATTCCCCAGTTGATGTGTTCAAAGGATATGAACAATTTTCAGATGAAGAAATTAAAGCTACCTATAATCATATGAAAAGATGCTCTAAATCACAATTGATTAGAGAAATGCAAATCAAAACAACTCTGAGGTACCACCTCACACCTATCAGACTGGCTAATATGACAGAAAAGGAAAATGATAAATGTTGGAGAAGATGTGGGAAAATTGGAACACTAATGCATTGTTGGTGGAGTTGTGAACTGATTCAACCATTTTTGTTAAATAAATTTATTTATTTTTAGTTTTCAACATTCACTTCCACAAATTTTTGAGTACCAGATTTTCACCCCATCCCACCCCTCCCCCCACCCCAAGATGGCATGCATTCTGAATATCCCTTCCCCTAGTCTGTTCTCTCTTCTATCTCTCCCCTTCTTTATCCCCTTCCCCTTCTATTTTCCTGTAGGGCAGGATAGACTTCTGTACCCCATTTCCTGTATTTCCTGTTTCCCAGTAGCATGTGAAAACATGTTTTTAAACATATGTTTTTAAAACTTTAGGTTTCAAATTTTCTGTCTTCCTCCCTCCCCACCCACCCTCATTGAAAAGGCAAGTAACTCAATATAGGTTGTACATGTGCAGTTATGCAAAACACTTCCATAGTAGACATGTTGTGAAAAACTAGCTCTATTTCCCTTAATCCTATCCTGCCCTCCCATTTATTCTATTCTTTCTTTTGACCCTGTCCCTCCTCAGAAGTATTTACTTCTGATTACCCCCTTTCCCAATCTGCCCTCCTCTCTATCATCCCCCTGCTCTCTTGTCCCCTTCTCCCCCTATTTTCCTGTAAGGTAAGACAGATTTCCATACCCAATTGAGTGTGTGTTATTCCCTCTGTAAGCCAAATCCTATGAGAATAAGATTCACTCATTCCCTCTCACCTTCCCCCATTTCCCCTCCACTGTAGAGACTTTTCCTTTCTGTTTTTTTTTTTGTGAGATAATTTACCCCATTCTACCTCTCCCTTTCTTCTTCTCTGAGTATAATCCTCTCTCATCCCTTAATTTTATTCTCCAGATATGACCCCTTAATCTTCAACTTACCCTGTGCCCTCTATCTATCTATCTATCTATCTATCTATCTATCTATCTACCTGTCTATATATACATACATATAATTGTTTTCCTCCAACTACCCTAATACTGACAAAGGTCTCATGAGTTATAAATATCACCTTTCCATGCAGGAATGTAAACAGTTCAATCTTACTAAGTCTCTTATGATTTCTCTTTCCTGTTTACCTCTTCATGTTCCACTTGAGTCCTGTATTTGAAAGTCAGATTTTCTATTCAGCTCTGGTCTTTTCCTCAGGAATGCTTGGAAGTCCTCTATTTCACTGAATGTCCATTTTTACCCCTGAAGGATTATACTCAGTTTTGCTGGGTAGGTAATTCTTGGTTGTTGATTCAACCATTCTAAAGCATAATTTGAAACTATGACCAAAGGACAACCAGACTGTGCATGCTCTTTGATCCAGCAATACCACTAGGGCTGTATCCCAAAGAGATCATAAAAAAGGGAAAAGGACCCATGTGTACAAAACTGTTTATAGCGGCTCTTTTTTGGGGTGGCAAAGAATTGGAAATTGAGGGGATGCCCATCAATTGGGGAATGGCTGAACAAGTTGTGGTATATGAATCTAATGGAATACCATTATGCTATAAGGAATGATGAGCAGGCAGATTTCAGAAAAACCTGGAAAGATTTACATAAACCGATGCTGAGTGAAGTGAGCAGAACCAGGAGAATGCTGTACACAGTAACAACATTGTGCGATGACTAACTTTGATACTTAGCTCTTCTCAGCAATGCAATGATCCAAGACAATTCCAAAAGACTCATGATGGGAAATGCTAACCACATCCAGAGAAAGAACTATGGAGGCTGAATGCAGATCAAAGTGGACAGTTTTCTCTCTCTCTTTTTTCTTTCTTGTGGTTTCTCGCTTTTGTTCTGATTCTTCTTTCACAATGTGACTAATGTGGAAATATGTTAAATATGATTGTACACGTATAGACTATATCAGATTGCTTGCTGTCTTGGGGAGGGGAGAGGGAATGGAAGGAGGGAGAAAATTTTGGAACTCAGAATTTTACAAAAATGAATGTTGAAAACTATCTTTATATATAATTGGAAAAAAAATACTGTTAAGGAAAAAAAAATTCCTGCTGATGCCAAGGCACCTCCTGAGCTGAGACAAAGAGGGACAGTGCCACCTCTACCCCCTCCAAGTACAATGCCCTCAGAGGAGCACACACACC